ATCCTCATTGCAATTAAGGAAATTCATTGAAATTTATCATTATCGCAATACTCATCATTATCATCATTATCACCCGTATCATTTCTAGAATCATCATTATCATTACAATAATTGTCATTGTCCCTGCAACAATCATTCTACAAATCATTATAATCATCACTATCATTAATATCTTCAATAGAAAAAAAAACATACAATCATCAACCACATTATTATCACCACCATTGCTTGATAATCACTAATCTAATCATTGCATATCATAATAATGATAATGATAATCATCATAATTATAGTTATGATAAAAATAATGATAATAATAATTATGATAAAAATAATGATAATAATAATAATATACTATACTATAAATAATAATAATAATAATAATAATAATAATGGTGATAATAATGATAATAATAATAATAAGAAGAGAGAAGAATGAATAGAACAAGAGGAAGAAGAAATAAAAATAAAAATAAAAAGGAAGAGTAGAAGAAAAAGAAAAAGAAGAGAAGAAGAAAAACGAAGAAGGGGAAGAAGACGAAGAAAAAAAAGATAAGGAAGAAAAAGACGAAGTAGAAGATAAAGCGAAGAAGAAATACAAGGAAACGACAAAGAAAAAAAAGAAAATGACCATAAAGAAAGAGAAACCGAAGCATAACAAGAACAAAAACAAGTACAAACCCCCCCCCCAAAAAAGAAAGAAAGAAAAAACCCTACGACTCCTACTCACAGTTGGCATTGCTCTGGATGCTCATGAGGAGACTCACGTGGATCTTCAGCCTCGCCTCCAGCTTGGCCATGTCCTTGAGCTTGCCTTCGAGGAGGGCCAGTCGGGTCATGAGTGTGTCGAAGTCGAAGACGCACCGCTCGTGGCTCTTTCGTAGCTGCGGAGGAAAGGGGTGAGATGGGGTTTTCTTTCTTCTTCTTCTTCTTTTTTCGTTTTTCGTTTCTCTCTCTCTATGTGTCTAGCTATTTATCTATCTTTCTGTCTGTCTGGCTGGCTGTCTCTTTCTTTCTTTCTTCTTCTTCTTCTTCTTCGTTTTTCGTTTCTCTCTATCTATCTATCTATTTAGCTAGCTAGCTATCTTTCTGGCTGGCTGTCTCTTTCTTTCTTTCTTTCTCTCTTCTCTTCTTCTCTCTTTCTCTCTCTCTCTCTTTCTCTCTCTCTCTCTCTTCTCTCTCTCTCTCTCTCTCTCTCTCTCTCTCTCTCTCTCTCTTCTCTCTCTCTCTCTCTCTCTCTCTCTCTCTCTCTCTCTCTCTCTCTCTCTCTCTCTCTCTCATTCTCTCTCTCTATCTATCTATCTCTTTTCGTTGTTGAGGTGTTTATAGGTAGAGGGGTAGGGTTATGGATAGGTGGAGAGAGGGGGGGAGGAGGGAGAGGGGGAGGGATACGAGAAAGAATTAGAGAGAGAGATAGGGAGAAATATAGATAGAGAGAGAGAAGGAGAGACAGAGAGATATGGGTAGATAGATAGATAGATAGAGAGAGAGAGAGATGAATAAAGACATATGGGCATACAGATAAATATAAATCTATAGTCTTAATGAAATACAAATACAATATTTATGGAATTTCTGTCCTATGTATGTATATATATGTATCAGCTACGGAATTTTTCGTGTGAGTATTGAATGGCTTCGCTTAAAAGAATGTTCGTTCTATTCGAACATATTCATCTTTTATGTCAGAAAGATATATACAAAGTAAATTAAAAAAAAATAGATTCAAAAGCAATAAAGTGCGACCGGTCTTGCTGCACTTACCGGGCACCTCGTGCAGGGGTTTCTGATTCTGCACTGGTTCTGGACGCTGACGACTCGCTTGAGGTACTCCCATCTGTTCTCGTTGGACACGGGTCGTGGCATGGGGCAGGTCGGCCGCTGGTAGATACGGGGGTCACCTGGTGGATACGGTTGGGGTCTTGTCTGTGGGTACCCTGGTGGTGGATAGGGTTGGGGTCTCGTCTGCGGGTATGGCAGTGGCTGCGGCCTCGCCTGTGGCTGCGGCCTCGCCTGTGGCTGCGGCCTCGCCTGTGGCTGCACCTGATAGAAGCCCGGCGGGGTGTAGGCCTCATACGGGATGGACTGCCTCTTCGCTCGCTTCTCCCCGGCGAGCGGCGGGGGCGACGGCGATGCCCTGGGGCCGCCCTCGCCCTGGACCGCCTCCAGCGCATCCAGGATCACCCCCACCCCGTCGACGGCCTTCTCCACCAGCCCTGGACCGCCCGCCAGGGACGGCCTCGAAGTGCCATTCCGCCCTGACAGAGGGTCTTCCAGGGAATTCAAGACCTTGTCCAGCACCAGGACCTCAGGAGCCCCGTAGGACGCGCCGGGGGTCGAAGCGAGTCCGTGCATGGCCTGCAGCAGCGCCAAGCAGGCCAGCCACGCCACCTGCACCGTGATGGCCATGCGCCTCGATCTACAGGGAAGACAATCATTTATTGAAACACCCATAGTTAACACAAAGTCATGTCAAGATACACATATTTGCATTGTAACA